ATCCACTTGGTTGGAACAAAAAAAAGATCATTGTTCTGGCTATTATTATATGACAAGACATGTTTTGGTTCACAGGAAACACAGGGGCGTCCTGCAGAAAGGTAAAACGGCTTCAACTGGATTGTCATTGAGCTTATCAGAGCATGCACAGCTAGCTCTTAAAAACGTGTCCATGTGCGTGAAATACAGTGTTTTTGAGGGAGTTCCATCATGGGAATCACCAGGACATTTGCTCTAATCATTATCAAAATGTGTCTCTCACCATGGCCTCCATTCGTGACCTCCTCTCCTCCTCATCTTTACGTCGCTGCATGTTCTCCAGGTCCTGCCGTGCTTCACAAAACGACTGCAAGAAGGTGTCGAAGATCCCGAAGAACTCATCAGGCTGCATCCTCCCTTCTTCTTCCCCAAAGTGCTTCAGCGATTTGGTAAACTGTGCGGAGACAGAGACCATGTTCAACATTTTTACACTTTGATAGGAAGTGACTAAAAGCAAGCCTAGAACAAATGGATAAAAAAACAATAAAGAATTTTTGATTGTCTTGCATTCTCTGCAGTAACACTGGTCTTTCATTGCTTGTTCCTATATTTAAAAGAGTATCCATCCTTGCCCAAATTCCTTAGCTTGAATGCATGTTTAATGTTGTGTGATCTAGGACTGCAGCAGCACACATGCAGACACACACACAAGCAGAAGATGGGAGACTGACTGCATGATTTGAGCACCGTATGTCCCCCCTGTTCAGTCCAAGCTGTCCGGTGCTCTGTGCCAGGACGACGCCTGCAGTCAAACCTACTCTACATTCCTGCACACATACAGCTTCATACTGCAGCATTCAGCAGAAAACAGAACTGAGTGTCCTCTCTGTTGCCAAAAGGATGTCGTTATGTTTAACCTGTTGTAAATGTAATCATTATTCACAATAATGTGAAAAGAAAATGGCAGAGGAGATCCCCTGCACACCAACTCGACTGGGCTAAAAGACCACTGACTGACATGAATGTAAAAATAGTCTCTTTAATGAGGACAGGAATGGTGAGAACAAAAGGTGCTCACAGAACAAAAAGGTAAATAAAAAACGTCTTGACAATCATCAGTGCTACTGAAATGAGTATCACACAGAGCAGATACAGACATAGAAGAAGGCTGTGTCAGAAACCATATACTTTCATACTATTCAGACTAAATATGACGTCACATTCACTAAGGTCGGGCTAGCTTGATGCTAGCTTATCCAACGTAGCTTGAACTGGAGAAACATAATGTGGTCAGTAATTCAGTTTGTTGCTAACAGCATACTAACAGTGGGATCAGTGGGCTACTGTTTGTTTATGTAGAAGGGAGTACATTAGTATCTGCTTTGAGACAGCCAAAGATACACGGCCAGGTCTGATTAATCAACAAGCTGGTTCTACTAATTAGTTGAAACCAACTCTTTGTTGGAGAGACTACTTTTGCATTTATCACCCTGTGGACTTTTGTGGCTTTTTAGCTCAATCGAGTATCGCATCATTCTTAGAAAATGTTAAAAATGTATATTTTTAAATTCAATTAATGGAAGGTGTGGTTTCTTTAAGTTGACCTCATCCCAAAATCCTTAAACAGGAGTATTATTAAATATGAATATGAACTCGAACATAATGAATTGTGACAAAAATCCACTTTGATCAATATAGAGAAAACTGCTGTGAATGTATTTTTGCTGGTGTATAATTATCCACTCTTAAGGCCATCATCATCCTCACATAAAACAGCCGTAGTAAGAAAACATGAATATCTGCTGTACTTTAAGGCCTGCCCTCTCTGGGTATGTTACAGAAAACATCCCATCACTGTAGTTTTTAGCTGGGGGAGTAAACTGTTTCAACTTCTTGTGTTGAGATACGGAGGAGATGGGATTGTTTTTTTTTTCTGAGGCTACACAATCATCCTGTCATTATGGGCTGGTCACCATGGCTACCACCACCATCATCCCTCTCCCTCCTGTAATTATGTGTGTTCTGGTCAAATGTGTTTCCTCTCGTCCCCTCTGGGTCTGGCTCAGCTGGTAGTCGGTCGTCTCTAAACCGGAAGTTTGGGGGTGCGATCCCAAGCTCCTGCAGCCACTTGCCACTTTGTCTGCGGCATATGAATGTGTATGAATGGGATTAGTTAATACTAATGGACTCTTTACAATCAGAGTGTGAATGTGTAGGTGTGACCTGCAGTGCAAAAGTGCTTTGAGTAGTCAGAAGACTAGAAAAGCGCTCTACAAGTCCATTTACGATTTACAAACTCTGTGGCACTATGAGAGGATTATTCATAGGGATGAGTGTATCAATCCTGTGCTATCTACACTAAGATACTCACAAGTTACTGTGTTTGTATTTGTTTATCATACACTGACAATATAATGTTCTTTAATTTTAAAGCTCCTGTGATGAACTTCAGGTTCTTGGGGATTTTGGCGCCCCCTGTAGACAAAGTGCTAACTCTTATCTCTTTGTTGATTCTGTCCTGCACATGTGTAAGGAGTGATCATGTTGTTGTGATTAACAGTTTCTGCACTGTGTTGAACTCACTATCTGACACCTGGCAGGCGGCAGTGGTAACAAGCATCTAAAATAACAAAAATGATCAGTCTTGCAGCTTATGGTCTTGTTTGCGTTTCTGTCATGTTTAAAGGCATCTGTATTTATCTCAGTCTGTTTCACAACTCCTCACAGGAGCTTTAAGTTGTTAAAAACCACAAACTTTCTTACAGGCTGTTTTAGATTAAATCTTTGATTAATAGTGCTGTAATCTCACCAACCAATCCGAGGTTTTCTCAATGCTCTGCATGTGGGAACTTAATAAACATGTTCTTGAGGGAAAACAAAGAAACTTAATCGCATCAATTTATAGATAAAATGAAGTAGATTAGTTTTATAATCCAGCCCTCAGAAATTCAGAAATTTAGAGATCAAATAGTCACTTCTGGTTTAGTCTGATTCCTACTCCTCCATACACAACTTCAGCATGAGACAAGCCTGTCTTTAAATAAACTTCCCTCCCCAGCTTTGCTGTGGCAGTGTATTAAATGCATGAAACAAAAAGCTCAGTGATGTTGTCACGGTGTTAGTGTCATGGACTGGCAGTTGTGAGAGGCTAGGTTTAATGAAAGTGGGCACATGGGAAATAAGTTTGTGCTGCGCTGAAAATGAAATACAAGGAGAGCCTGTAGTAAGATCAGTTTGTGCCGAGCGTTGGTAAGATGCACCAGCATTAAAGAATCTACAGTTTTCAACTGAAACAGGTTTGAGCGAGTATTTCCACCGCTCAAGGAGACATTTATTCCTTTTGGTTACATGGTTAAAAAAGATCAGCCAGATACTCCTTTGATGTGGAAGTCAAATTTGAGACTTTAAATTCCATAGCAGCATTGTAGATTGTATATGAAGGTGGACACAGACTTTTGCCTTAACAAATAAGGATAAAGTATAATTGCCTTCAACCTGCACTCTCATTAATGTCCACTGGGGGGCGACTCCATTGATTGCACCAATAAGTTTGAGGGCCTAATTTAGAAAAGGATGTATGGCTTTTGTGCTTGCTCAGCCTGTGCAAAAATGAGTGTCTAATTCACAAAGCACATATGCAAAAAGTTAAATGCACCGCTAATTGTGCTAATTGAGAATACAGCGTGTCTGTACTCCAGTGCTGTTTGTACATGTTTCAATGAGTCTATTGAAACATGTATAGTTTCAATAGGCTCTATTCCACCTCTGTATGGCCGAAATTATCACAATCTGGGGAACAGAACTGAGCTGGGTCAGAACAAGAGGAGGGTGAGTGAGGAGGTGCATTGTATAGAGATACACACCAGACGCTGAATCTCAACAAACGTGTCTCTTTTACAAAATGTTCAATATCTGTGGACTTTATTTTTGGCACGATTACTAGTGCACTTTAGTTTTTCAAAGTGTTGCCTTTTTTAGATTGCAATGTAGTTGTTTTGTTTCAGACTGAAGACTGAATCTTGCACTGAATTGTTTGTGAACGTGAAGAGATGAGGGTGCGAGAGATAAACCCGACCCATCTCTGTGGATCAGAGAGAAAATCCCTTCTCTCCTCTAGAAACCTCTGTCCCAATAACCCCCATGACCTTGGACATCTGTAATCCTTTGTAATGTATGTAGTAGTGTCTGGTGAGGGTGTGTGGGTGTGTGTGTGTGTTTTTCTCCTACAAATACACACACATTGGTTGCCATGGAGCTTTATTAGCTGCATTGCACTGCTTGCTCTGTTTAGTCATCCTTCTCAACTTAGAACTAAAACATTGAGTGCACGCCCACTCTTCCATATTTGTATTCTGCTGGAAACCTAACAGAGCGTCAGAGAGCTGTGACAAGCTCTGAGTTAATGTGTCAGCCCACGCACGCACGCACACACACACACACACACAGTGGAGTTAGGAAAAGAGTGTGTTTAGAGTCTGGGCTGCTGAACACAGGTTCTTTTGTTTTACAGAAGCCTTCCTTCTCTCGTTCTTTTCCCATGACATCCAAACAGGCCCATTTTTCCCTCCAACTTTTCAGTGAACTCCTCCTTGAACAAATAATTTAGCAGAGTGAAGGGTCTGAATGAAACTCCTTCTCCCTCTCTTTCTTGCTTTCTTGCTCAAGCTCTCTTGATTCGTGAGCGCAGGGTGTGTGTGTGTGTGTGTGTGTGTGTGTGTGTGTGTGTGTGTGTGTGTGTGTGTGTGTGTGTGTGTGTGTGTGTGTGTGTGTGTGTGTGTGTGTGTGTGCGTGCATGTCTGTCTGACTGTGTGCGTATGTGGAGCTCCGACACTGCTGTGCTTCTTCAATCCCGAAACGCAAAGTGAACTCACAGACTGGGACACCAATCTTACGTCGTTGTGGTATCAATATGAATGTACAGAGATGTGATGATGGCTGAACTTAGCTACACCACTGAGAAGGGCTGGTGAAACTGCAAACAATGACCAGAACACTTTCTAGTAAAATCTTCTGTGGTCATTTACATGATGGATAGTTATCCATGATTTGGACAGTTTGGGAACCAGTTCTTCAGAGAGTTTAAAACTATTTATGCATTCTTCATCAGTGCATAAACTATTTTGAAAAAAAGAGCCTCAACCTAAACATCATGTTGGAGTTACTATTACCACTGCATGTTATCTGCTGTGTGCAAGAGAGCACCCGAAGGCCTGCGAAAAAACCTGCTCACATGAATCTTTTCAACACTGTATTCACTCTGGGGTTCCTGCAGTCCCACTGATGTCTTCAGCTTACATGCTTCCTACCAGACATCAGTGCATGAGCCAGCAGGGTTCAAGAGGCCATATGTCCTCGTGCACAAAGAAGGAGAGTGTGGATTTAAAAGACTAAACTCAGAGAGACAAACACAAAGGCAGGACGAGGGGGGAATCCACAGAAAGCTTTCAAGGCTGGGTTTCCCCTGCGCTGCTGAAGTCATCACACTGGGGTCGGGTTTCTCCCTTCAGCGTTTCGTCTCTCTTTTGTCTGACATGAGGGTTTGGCAGTGACAACAACTCACAGAGGACAGATCAAAGCCACCCACATGGACATATGAACTAGCAATATGTTCTTGTCTCATGTTTTAAATGCTCTGTTTCCTGTATCGCTCGGTGCTCATGCAGGTAGCTACCTTGTCCTTGGCTTCGCTCAGCTGGTCCTCCAGTTCAGAGAAGCTGAAGCCGGCCACGGTGATGAAGTCTCCGATCACAGCCACGAACTTATCCCCACGTTCCCTCGTCCTGCTCTGCTGGTACTGCAGCTCCTGCAGGGGGGGGCGAGCAGACGAGAAAAGTGGGATTTAAAAAAAAAGAAAATACTTAAGATTATAGGGGTTCTTGTGTTCTATAAAGCAATCAGGGACATCTCCTTCAACCCCATGAAAACACACCACCTGTGGCTGAAAACTGAATTGGGTGACATCGAGCACTAGGGGGCAGCCATGATCTTGCTGCAGGAGAGTGTTTTCTGGATGATCTGGTTAAGATTGAACTGAAATTATAAACAGACTAATCCAATAAAAATATCTAGAGCTTAACTTAAAAAGAAACCTGATAGATATAAAGCTTTTACAGATACTTTGATTGAACTAAAATGAGCAAAATCACAGACAGAGGCACTGCTTTGTTATCGCAGTGATGTATCAAAACACTCCACATTGAAATGAGTTCATCTAAAAAATACCAAAATGTAGAGGTTCAAAAAGCTTTCTAATGAGTTTCTTTTATGTTTCAAATTGTTTCGACAAATTCTATGCTGTGTGTTTATTAGATTCTTCTATTTATGCCACAGTTACAATACATTTCTCAATAGTCACGGTCACCTGAGTTAAATCACTTATTGGCTCAGGTTGAGTATATTTCAGGTCAACTGAATCATTTGAAAATACATTTCCATTTCCTGAAAAGTTGGTACGCTGCATAAAATATAAAACATAAAGACCCCAAAGTGATGATTTTCAACACATTGAAACCCCGTTTTTAATAGAAAAAGTACAAAGTCAGCATATCACATGTTGAAATTTTGAAATACATTTTCCTTTTTGTGTCCATTTTCAATTTGATGCCAGCAACACATTTAAAAAAAGTTGAGACACTTTGTAAGTGTTTTGGTGAACTGAGGTGAACAGTTTCTGTCATTTTTAAAGAGGAATCTTTTACTTTTCTTCAACAGTTTAGAGTCTTTTGTGTCCAATCTGCGTTTCATAATGCGGCAAACATTTTCAATTGGTGACAGGTCGGGACGACAGAAAGTACGGTTTAGCTTCAGAATGCAGTGTGTCATTGTCTGGATGAAATAAGGCCCTCCCTGAAAAAGATGTTATCTATCTTGCAGCATATGTCACATATGTAAAATGTATATACATACAAAAAATGTATACATACTGTATATTTGAGCATAATTGGTCCACAGTTTCCCAGTTTGGGATCAATAAAGTAATTCTATTATTCTAGTTCTATTCTATTCTATTAATGGTGCCTTCACAGACATGCAGGTTTCCCTTGCCATGTGCACTAATGCACCCTCATCCAGTCACAGATTCTGACTTCTGGCAGAGCTCCAAGGATTTAAGAGTGAGGGAGGATCATCAACAAACGATCAAGTTCTTATAGTTATGCAAAGTCAAAATATATAAATATTTAAAACACAGTAAACCCCTGTGTGTGTCTCTCTGTGTCTTTAAGAGTGCAGGAACATTAGCCGTGTTTCTCTGCGTGGCATGACATTTTCCAGTCCATGTTAGCATTAAACATCAGCAGCATTTAAACACCTCATCCTGCTGTCCATCTCCGCTCTGCTCCAAAAAACATAAGAACAGACATCAGAAGAACCAACAGGAGGGAGCAACGACACAAACACACACAACTCACCGCCTCCAGAGCCTTCAGCCCACTTTTCATGTTGTGCACCTCTTTTTCCAGCTCCGCCAAACTAGTGAAAGAAAAAAAGATGAATCAGATACTTTATTTTATACTGAAGCTTTCTACAAGTTTTATGGCACTAGTTTATGACTTATTCAGTTTAACACTCCAAAATATGTGGAGGAAAGGAACTTTTTTTAAATCCAACTAACAAGTGTTGGGCCACGCAGGCTTAGAACAGTCAGGCAGTGGACTTGGGCCTGCACCTCTGTAAAAGCCTCATTTGAGTTATTCACTGAGATCACCAAGAGGCCTAAAAGGACTCTTAATCCCAGAATCCCCTGCGGTACTTCACACCTACGTGTGAAGTAAAGGGGGGACCGGAACCTCTCTCTCCTCATTGGAGGGGGACCTGAGGTAGACCCCCCCATGGAGCAGGCCAGGCTACAAAGCTCCAGTCTTTAAAAGCAATCACCAGGCATTGCTTCCTTCTCTTCAAGTGTGGTCTGCCGACACCAGAGGATACCCTCTCCATATGATGGACTCCAGCATTCGAGACAAAGCCTTTCCTCCTCTTGACTTACATAGGTTAAACTCCAGAGCTGAGGTTGCTCAGTATAGGTAGCTCTTCACATGCTGAATTCAAGCATCAGAGGATTCAGCTGACTACTTCCACGGCATATTTTTAGGAGTTTTGGGCGCAATCAGATGCTATCAGGTTCGAGCAAAAAGAAGAGTTTCTTTCCTTTGATTTTTCGTAAGACGTCATTGAACGCAACTGGACAGGAGCGCTGAAGGAAGCCCACTGATCCCTGAATCCACAAGGACACATAAAGAACTCGGCTCCTGCAACCAGAAGACCCTATAGAGCAGCGCTCTGGTCGAAGATCTGAATCCCGCTACCCTCCTCCTACATCTGCCACGAAGGAAACCTGCCTGAATCTGTTGATTTAACATTCAACAGAGTGACGATCTAACCAACTTTGCAACGATCACCAGGAGTTACCCCAAGTAAGAGCTTTGGTCTGGGCAGAAATAGTTTCAGAAATAGTTATGTTTCTTTTATAACCACTGATAATTATGCATCATCGTTGACGACACGTCACATTCTGTATATTATCTGTTGTAAGCTGCTGCATTTGTTTTATTGTAATGAACTGCTGTGTTCGTCTATGTGTTTAATGCTATGCTAGTTTACCTTCAGTCAACGGCTTTCACAATCAGAAAGACCAGTGTACCCGCCGTTGAATCAAAGTCCGGCCACTGGCTTTCTGGTGTTTAAGTAACAGTTACTGAACTCAGCTCAGAGAGCTCAAACTATTTCAAAAGGTAGCCACACGGCTTCCTTTGTTGTCCACCATTTTTGTCACCATGTGACGAAGCCACATGGTGCATTGTCTCTCTCCCCCATCTTGTCTCTCTCTCTCTCTCTCTCTCTCTCTCTCTCTCTCTCTCTCTCTCTCTCTCTCTCTCACACACACACACACACACACACACACACCTACATTCACACCTCATCCACAAGCCTTTGCTTGATAATGTTTGTTGCTTAGATTAGTTTATAGTAGTTATTTGTTTAATTAAGTTCATTGATTTTGGATTGATGTTGCTTTGTTTAAATAAATTCTGTTATAATTTAAGAGAGCAGTTGTTTGTGATTACTGGTGTATTTGCATTGTGATATAAGCTGGGTGCGAAGGCTTTGTGTACGGATTTCACGCCTTCAATTTATTAAATATAGTTATTCATTATTAATAATATTAGTAATTAAATAACTAATTTGAGACTGATTTGAGTGATATTTTGGTTATATTTACCTGATTACAGGTTGGTGCCCCAAAACGAGATTAAACATAGTTTAATGATATTTTATTTATATTATTAATAATTAAGTATAATTATTAAAGAATATAACCAAAGTTGACTTGATACAACCCCAACAAATGGTGCCCGTGTGAGGCCTTCAATAAACCAGCTTTATTGCACTGTAAATGCACAGTAATCCAAACTTAAAATCCTAAAAAGGATCCTTCGGAAGAAAATTATATTTTCTTTAAATTTTTGTGGTTTAAGCAAAGCAGACATCAAGCTGTGGCTTAGTTGTGTTTTATGTTGTTAGTTAATGGTTAAAGCCGTAACTGTTGTCCCCTTTGGGTCCATACAACAATTGGACATAATGATGCAGCTAGTGTGACTTTATCAAGGAACTTGATTTGTTGCATTAATCTAGATTTTGATCCTGAAGTATTCGACTAAAGGATTGTGGTGCTCCTTGTTGTTTGAGAGCCATTTGGCCAGATGAGAGTGTAACCTCATCATTGTTGCATAGCCAGCTGTCTGAGAGGTGTGAGTTCCTCCCTTCCTTTGAGGACTTGAGGTGTGAATCCCCTCTCCTATCTTCCAGGATAGACTGCAGTGATCAGTTGGGAAACTTAGATAAGATTTGCTCTTGTGTACCAAGACCCTAGGTGAGTCGGGGGCTGAGACTCCTTTTGGATCAGACGACGCAGCACTGCAAGAAACTGCTGCCGGTCTGACGAACCTCTCCTAGAGGAGAGTGCCAACCTATATAGCTAGTCAATTAGCATTAGTGATAAGAAGTTAGAAGAGCTAGTTGATCTTGTCAACCACAGAGCCAGGCTCACCCCTAATAAAGACAGAATGTATGCAGAAGACATACATCAACTATGGGCCAAAGCTCACTATGGATCAGACGATCCACCCCTTCAAGACGTAGTTGCTAATCTTATCCACCTCCCTATAGAGCAGCTCGACAGCCTGAACTCCTACACCCTCAGCACATGTGAAAAGAGACTAAAGGGCTTGGTTGAATATGCAAATCAACCAACTGGGAAGCCAACACGTACAGTTTCAGATGTTCTAGGCGAAATTCTCCTCCTTTATCAGCGCAAATCAAATGTGCAGAATGAGATACACCGGGAACAGCTAGCCCGGGTACTAGAAGAAGGACAGATCCTGCGGGACGACTTCGAAAGAATGCAGGATAAACTAAAGACCTTGCAGGAAAATTGCAAGGCCCTGCAGGAGGAGAATAAAACACTGCACGAAAGCAGCAAACTGGCCGAACAGAGAAACGAAGTGATATGGTACCCAGATTTCAGGACAGGCAGAGAAGGACTTCAGCCCCCAGATCAGATGAGGAAACCTCAGACGAAGGATGGGAGACTGAACAAGCCCCTGGAGGAGGGAGACAGACATGTTGCAGGATCTGGAGGAGAGGGGAAGGCACCGCCGGGTCGACCCAGGCACAAAAGCGCCCACGTCCTCAGACCACCCGGTAAAGAGTAGGATGAGTAAAGAGGAAGGGCCCCCGCGTTCCGCCATACGCTTTGAGCGAAGAGAACCCTCACCCCGCAGGATGAGAGGCTTTACTCCCCCTAGAGACAGGGAGGAGACACGGGCCCAATTGGGCACCGAACGCTACCTGTCCCACGATAGACGGCCACGTCTGAGCCGAACACAAACCCCGCCACGGTTACAACCCTACTACCGTGACAACCACAGGGCTTACGATTCGTCAGACGAATCGGACGACCCTTGCCAGCCTTCGGGTCAGGGCCTGCGAACCAGGCAGATAGAACCTCAGGCCAAAGATCTGAAGCGTTTTGACCCAGATAGCCCAGATTCAAGTATTAACGACTACCTTAGAGAAGTTGACCATTGTCTCCTTGACCTGCCTCATGCGTCCTCACATGAAAAACTGAAACGGATCTGGAAGACTACGGCTAGGAGTGTCCGTGATTTCATGGGGACACTCCCACCAAAGGTCCGATCCTTGCAGAAAGGAAACAAATCTGTTAGTCAGCACTTACAAACTGCCAAGCAGAAAGTGTTGGACATGTTTGAATTAATTCAGGGAGCACAGGTAAGCATGGAGCAAGACATATCGTCAGGATATGACTCTGATCCTGGACCAAGCCCCTTAAGAGATCAAACAACCCTGCTGAAAAAGCTCAGTAAAGAACCGAGCAGCCAGGATAACCCAAGGACTGAGGAAATAAGTCTAGTTTTCCCTGATTTTGACTGTGGAGCCCCGCTCCTTGGGGAAACGCCCCAGTTCTCTGACAACTGTGACACCCTTTCACACCTTCACAGGTTTGAATCACCACATAGGAAGGGGGGTGACTTCTCAGCCCCCAGAGGCAGAGATAACACCAGGCCCCCTCCTGCTACCTGTAGGTTCCCATTGCAGGATTCACAGCTGAGGAATATCCAAACCTCAGATGACTGGGATGGCTCCCTTCTACCCAGAGATCAAAGAATGCGCATAAGGCTCATTGAATCTATGGCACAGGATGTAGAGCGGTTTGATCCAGATAACTCAGACCTCTGCATCGATGATTACCTCAGAGAGATTAACCTGTGTCTCAGTGAGGTACCTGATGCATCCACAAGAGAAAAACTCAGGCTGATCTGGAAGACAACTTCCAAGAGTGTCCGTAACTTCACGACTACCCTTCAGCCTGAGATCAGATACCAGTACTCTGCGCTCTGCAATGCTTTGCGCCAGGAATACTCCACCTACATTGACCCTGCATCTGCCCTTCTTAGTGCTTTCAGTGTCTTGCATCAGAAGCATGAGGCCCCCAAAGATTATTACTGGCGACTTAGATCTGCATATTTCCAGGGACGTAAGGCTCCAGGTTTGGAAGAGAACCCAACTTTCAAGTCCATCTTCATGCACAATCTGCATGGCTGCGTGCATTCAGATGTCACCCTGCATAGTCGTACACATCAGCTTAGTATGAAAGAGATCAAGAGATTCGCACAGGCGGTTTGGCAGACACGCTTACGCCACGTGTCACGTGAGGGCAACAAGCTGCCTTGTGCTAAGAATAAGAGACCATATCACCGGCAGAATAGAGAACAGAGCCAGGGGGGTGGGACTCAACCACAGAGTAGGTTCCAGCCTGGAGAACTGATCGCTACCAGATCCGAACGGAACTCTCGGGATGGCCGTAGTCTGAGACAGAAGGGTAGGTATAATCGGAGTTCCTACGAGCTCCCTAAGGACTCCCTCGCTTACAGAGAACCCGATTCTGACTCCACATAGGAGTGGGGGTGTAGCCTCCATTCTAGAAACACAACAATGTCACTCTACCGACATGAATGTTTCCTAGTCCCTGTTTTGTGTTTTGACATTGGTAGGGAGACACATAATGTACATGTACATTTACACACCTACACGCCACAAACACCTTCCCACAGGCTTACTCCTGCCCAGGCTAGGAGTTAGCCCACAAACCTACACCTTATACTCTTCTCTTTTTCCCCTCCTCTTGTCTGTTTGTTTCATTTGTTTTGTTAAAGAATGCACCTTGAGTAGCAAAGCTTTGCTAATGCCTGGTTATGTTTATGCCTAGCTTTAGACATAGTTAGACAGTCTGCCCAGACTTTGCCTCAGTGTCTGCCCAGACCGAATGCCTCTCAAAATGTATGGACTTTTTGCTCACTAACTATTTGAAAATTTGTCTCCTCACACATGGACTGTTGGCCCTATTTGCCCTAAAGACCGCGACCCGCAATCCCATTCTTCAGGACAAAGGGGGGATGTTGGGCCACGCAGGCTTAGAACAGTCAGGCAGTGGACTTGGGCCTGCACCTCTGTAAAAGCCTCATTTGAGTTATTCACTGAGATCACCAAGAGGCCTAAAAGGACTCTTAATCCCAGAATCCCCTGCGGTACTTCACACCTACGTGTGAAGTAAAGGGGGGACCGGAACCTCTCTCTCCTCATTGGAGGGGACCTGAGGTAGACCCCCCATGGAGCAGGCCAGGCTACAAAGCTCCAGTCTTTAAAAGCAATCACCAGGCATTGCTTCCTTCTCTTCAAGTGTGGTCTGCCGACACCAGAGGATACCCTCTCCATATGATGGACTCCAGCATTCGAGACAAAGCCTTTCCTCCTCTTGACTTACATAGGTTAAACTCCAGAGCTGAGGTTGCTCAGTATAGGTAGCTCTTCACATGCTGAATTCAAGCATCAGAGGATTCAGCTGACTACTTCCACGGCATATTTTTAGGAGTTTTGGGCGCAATCAGATGCTATCAGGTTCGAGCAAAAAGAAGAGTTTCTTTCCTTTGATTTTTCGTAAGACGTCATTGAACGCAACTGGACAGGAGCGCTGAAGGAAGCCCACTGATCCCTGAATCCACAAGGACACATAAAGAACTCGGCTCCTGCAACCAGAAGACCCTATAGAGCAGCGCTCTGGTCGAAGATCTGAATCCCGCTACCCTCCTCCTACATCTGCCACGAAGGAAACCTGCCTGAATCTGTTGATTTAACATTCAACAGAGTGACGATCTAACCAACTTTGCAACGATCACCAGGAGTTACCCCAAGTAAGAGCTTTGGTCTGGGCAGAAATAGTTTCAGAAATAGTTATGTTTCTTTTATAACCACTGATAATTATGCATCATCGTTGACGACACGTCACATTCTGTATATTATCTGTTGTAAGCTGCTGCATTTGTTTTATTGTAATGAACTGCTGTGTTCGTCTATGTGTTTAATGCTATGCTAGTTTACCTTCAGTCAACGGCTTTCACAATCAGAAAGACCAGTGTACCCGCCGTTGAATCAAAGTCCGGCCACTGGCTTTCTGGTGTTTAAGTAACAGTTACTGAACTCAGCTCAGAGAGCTCAAACTATTTCAAAAGGTAGCCACACGGCTTCCTTTGTTGTCCACCATTTTTGTCACCATGTGACGAAGCCACATGGTGCATTGTCTCTCTCCACCATCTTGTCTCTCTCTCTCTCTCTCTCTCTCTCTCTCTCTCTCTCTCTCTCTCTCTCTCTCTCTCACACACACACACACACACACACCTACATTCACACCTCATCCACAAGCCTTTGCTTGATAATGTTTGTTGCTTAGATTAGTTTATAGTAGTTATTTGTTTAATTAAGTTCATTGATTTTGGATTGATGTTGCTTTGTTTAAATAAATTCTGTTATAATTTAAGAGAGCAGTTGTTTGTGATTACTGGTGTATTTGCATTGTGATATAAGCTGGGTGCGAAGGCTTTGTGTACGGATTTCACGCCTTCAATTTATTAAATATAGTTATTCATTATTAATAATATTAGTAATTAAATAACTAATTTGAGACTGATTTGAGTGATATTTTGGTTATATTTACCTGATTACAGGTTGGTGCCCCAAAACGAGATTAAACATAGTTTAATGATATTTTATTTATATTATTAATAATTAAGTATAATTATTAAAGAATATAACCAAAGTTGACTTGATACAACCCCAACACAAGTGTTCTTACAACTTTATTCAAAAAGCTAAATCCTCACGCAGCATAGTCCTGATGCACTTTATGATTTAAATAAATACATATGAGAAACAGACTACAAACAAACTGAACCAGGCAGTAAAAGCCTCATTAACATCAATCAGGTGATTTGAGATACTGAAAGTCCATGCAGTGTCTTGACAAGAAGAAATCATCCTCAAACCAGCCCTAGCACACAATGGAAACCAGTGAAATGAAGGCCAGAACTGGTTGCTTTATGATTCATTGTTTACTTTTTTTTGTCAAAGATTCTCGTTGCAGTATTTAATAGGAACAAGTTAAAGGTTTGACTGAAGACACAAATGCATAGACTCAAGTTTCAGCACCAGGCCACAGAGGAAACAGGCAGATTTGAGCAGCACTACAATGGTTGAAACTTGCTCCCTAACTTTATTATAACACATACATTATAGATGATAATCCAAAATTCACACCTGGTCTTTTGATTTTCAGTAATACAGAATTAATATTAACACTCATATTTTTAGATTTCTGGATGATATACCTTTAAATGTAGGGGTTTAAAAGGGTTACATGTTGACACCTGTCTTTACTCAAACATGGCTCTGGGGAAAACGTTCCCTTCATTGAAGAGTTGGGACACTCACTTGACTTTTGCAGCCTCCGGGACACTGTTGAGGTCCTGCTGGATGTTCAGTGTGTCCGGGTAGTTCTTCTCAAAGATCATGATCAGGTAGTGCAACATGGTGATGTTCCTGTTGAGTCACAAGTGAAGACAAAAGTTTGAAAACCAAAAGTAATCCAGGATACATAACGTCATGCAGAGCTGCTAATTAAAGGCTCATCTTGAATACTTCTCTTTAATCCTTTGAACCTCAGGATGTTCTGCTCAGCTTTAACTCTTTATTGTTACTCTATTTGCAGACTTATAGCATACCAGTCATCACCTTCCTGTCCCGGGAACATGTACTGTTCTTTTAATGAGAACTTTATGGAATCAAACAAAAAAAGAGAAGTGGAGATGTTCTTCTGTTTTACCATCAAAATGATATTTATTATAAGTTCAATGTTTCAGTTTTTGTATTCTGCACTACAGTTCCCAACATGCTATGGGTGATTCAAACAGGAAATGTAAAACTGTGAAGGAGTACAGCTGCATTCACAGGCTCTGTGTGGATGATCCCATTTCCTGAATTGGAAAGTATTTTTTCTGACCCGATAGTGTTTTAAATTCCAGAAGTCCAGATAGATGCTACAAAAAAAGAACAAGGTGTATATTGTTTCTTGAAGTATTTAAACAACATGCTAATAGCTCTTCCAGTTTCAGTATTCTTTGTTGATGTTGTAATTTTGGCACAGATTTGCTGCAGCACCGGTATATTGTAGAAAAAATACGGTAACAATTTATTTTGATAGTTCGTCTGTTGACACTCAACAAGCTATCAGTTGATATTCAACAGAACTTTTTCAACAGACAAGTTATAAACATTCAACTTACTGCCAGTAGACTATAAGGTGCATTTCAAGTTGTTACAACATTTTACAAAAAAGTGTCTTCCGACTCTCTTATTCTTTTAAACAGGTTATTGATAGACTTTCAACTAACTATCTGTAAATTGTCAACTTCTTGTAAGTTAAGTCAACTACTCTGAATCAATCTGTCAGTTGAAAGTCAACAGTATCACTCATCAAATGACTGACTGTTGATACTCTGTTGATTGGTTATCAATGGATAAGCTACTAATTTGTAGTTGACTATCTGTTGATTGTCAACATGTATAAAGATGACTATCAACAGACTATTAGTAGACATTAGTAACTAAGCATTTGTAGACCTGTGTTAGGACTATCCAATTAAAGTGAAAAAAAAACTCTGTCATGGTCTATCTTTACACATCACACAGATGGAAAACCTTGAAGTCAAAACAATATAAATATCTACTCATTAAATAAAACCACTCAATGTATTATTACAGCCAGTTAACATTTGAAATTTAAAATGTACATTTTTGAAAATGAAATATTCTTTATTTGGATACTGTCGACATTTAGCAACAAAAACTGTAATAGAAACATGTTTTCAAGTTTTCTTAGGTTCAGGACAGGTTTCAAACCATTCTGGTTAAAATGAATGATTGGTGAGGTCTGAATACACAGACGGACGGATACACAAAAATGTTGAAATTTACCTCAGAAGGTAAAAAAAATATTATTATAATACTTAGAATAAGGAGTACAGCTTTAAGATTGTAAACGGTTCAATGAAGTCAATAGAAGTTTCAACATGATTTTTGAGAACTGGGAAAAAATCCTGATTTTGGGTGCATTAGCATGGAATGACCCCATATTTAGTGAAGGGTACTACACATGTAGATAAATTTACCTTGCGTTTATGGCAGAACTTGCTCTCATCAATGTGAACGAGGACGTTAACTCCTCCAACTTTTTGCTTCTTTGTCTTTTGGTGCTTTTTCAGACTTTTTACACAAATTCTTCTGAGTTTCATTGACATCATGGAAAGTGTAGCTGTGCTCTTTGCAATGCCATCTTGAAGCATGTCTACTTGCCATAGATGTAAACCCTGTGCAAATCTACAAAGGACAAACAAAACAAATATAATTAAATAACGACAGTACATTTCCACATAAAAACATGTGTGCTTGATCAATCATAAAGCATAATTTGTATTATGTGTTTTAGCTAAACAACAACTGTTGCACAGTAGCTGATTCAAACGGTCGCTTATTACAACACAGTGCTGCATCTGGTCGTAATGTCACCACCAAAACTCCCCTTTCAGAAGGCCAAACTTTTTTATCCTACAGTGGTGTAACGAGACTGATTTTCCTTTAAATATAAACAAACATCACTATTCTGGTGTTATGGTTAAAAAAGTGACCCTGTTAACTGGCAACTTTTGGAAAAATGCGACTGAAAGTGTCCTAACATATGCCACTTTGTTCAGTTTTTGTATTGTCATAATGTCAAAAATATTTATTTAATGTCCTTAATGAAAAGCTAAACAAGAGTAATTCATTAGGACACAAATGTCCGACAATCACAGACTCATTCTGTTTAAACTGTAACACCGGCAAGGACTCATGTACTGTATAGGCTTAATCAACATTGTGTCAACTCATTTGGCAATGGCTTGAATGTAACAAATATTAATTTCAGACATCAATTTATGTGTAATAGTTATTAGTTACGGACTAGAACTTAAATTCATATCACAATAAACTGTTATAAAAGCATGTGCTTTAGTGTAAATGTACTCAAATGCACTGCACATACTGTTAAACACTATAGCAAGTGGCGATACTAATATCTGTTGGGGCCCTAGGCAAAAACACATTGAGGGCTCCAACCAGCATTCATCATTATTTTCCTCTTTTATTTTTTCACTCAGACAGATAATTTGTCTTCATTTAACCTTCATTGACAAACTTTTGGTTTTCATGAAAGATGAGATTCTAAGCAGGGCAACAAGCGTGAGTGCTATCAGATATCTATTATTTTTGTACAGCTCTGCTGTTTTTAAGTGCTCTATACTAAACTGATTTATAATCCAGCTGCACATATCAGTAATCTGTTCAAATCAGGAAACATGAGTGTTGATATCAAAATGTTTCATATATGTTTAAACTGATGTTCTTGAGTCTTTAAATAAAATAATTTAAACAAGCTTAAGTTAGTTATTTTACATGTTAAAAACCACTTTGATTTATTTATAGATTTATACTAAAGGTTATTTTCTGAAGACTCGTAATAATAAAATAATATATATTAAATATGTAGTTTTTAAACCACAATACCCTCTGTTCCTTCTACACTCTCTTTAGCAGTAATTGTGATGAGCGTTCACTGCAGTTTGTCAAAAAAATGAATAAATTCTGATTTATCCACTTCTACACATATCTGTGTGTGTGTGTGTGTGTGTGTGTGTGTGTGTGTGTGTGTGTGTGTGTTTGTGTTTTGAGGGGAAAAATAAAGAATGATATGGATTTCACTTGAGAAAATAAAAGTCTTCCTGTTCGTCTGAATTAACGACGTAGATATTTCATTGAGAGGGAAAAAAGCTGCCCCGTTTTTATTAACTAACGAGAGGCTTAACTAATTTATTCAGAAAAACACAAGATTTTTTATTTTCACTAGTTATTGCAATAAGCTTCTGTAAAAGAGGATTCATCTGATCCAATTTAACTTCAATAAGCAATAAACCTTAACGATCATTCTTACTTATTTGTAATTTATTTCAAGAGATAGACGCCTATCATTTGAAACTTTGAGAGAAGATGTCCAATAGATGGCGCACTTTAACAAAGCTGTCCCTTCATTGCACTGCTTCCCCTCCTCCTCATCCCCACCCCTCGCTCAGTGTCTGGATTGAGTGCAGCCATTTCTTAGACTATCTCCATTCAGAGATGAAGCCCAGAGTTCAGAAGAAGTCTCTTTTCCCCCATGTTGTGGCAGTGCTAACCACTGGACAGAGAGATGTTCATATAAAAGAAACATGTTAGAGCTTCATAAAAAATGCTACTTAGAGCCGGGTTCTTTTTTATTCGTTTATTTTGGGGATTTGTATGCCTTTATTTTAGTGATAAAAGAGTGGATATAGTTGGACATTTGAGAGAGAGAGAGAGAGAGAGAGATGGGTGGGGGGGGGGGGGGATGACATGTGGGAAAGAAACAAAAAACTGTTAAAGTCAATTAACAGCTGCTGAAATCATCAGACATACAAACTGCTGCTTCATGCAACATCTCAGAGACGAGGAAGTTTCACCACAATCTTAGTGCTTGTTCACTTCTCAGGGTGTGGCATGCTCTTATTTATTAGCTTCTACTGTTCCTGTAAATCAGCATGTTTCTTAAAAGTCAGCTGCTTTAAAAATAAGGGTGTTCCTGAACTCACAGAAGGACTTTTGATTGGTTGCTGACCAAGACTGATAAACTTTTCTCCTGTTTCTATGCTTCTTCGCGTCTGCATTTCTTAAAGTTGAACAACTCGTACAGTGATCTTTTGATCTGGTGAGTATAGCATAAAATATGTGTTTAGTTAGTAATTATTTTCAATCTGTGTGTCTATGTCTGCTTTACTGTTTGTTTTTATGCATCTTTATCTGCTGCAAATGTCAGTTTGTATGTCTATTTTACTGCGTTGGTGTATCATCTGTGTTATTTCTTCAAAGCCTAACCCGGAACAAGGACTGCAAATTAGCCATGTCTAGAAGTCCTAGATACATTGCATCTGTTGCACTTTAATTAGATGTAACAATGCTTACATGTAATGTCCCTGACAAATAAACAGATTAATAAATAAACACAGCACTTTGCTCATTGTGAGATGTATTTGGTGTGAGCTGGGGACAAACATTCATATTTGAAGATCATTTGTGTGTTTGATGTTATATTCATTAACAGATTGTAAAGTCTTTTTGGTCAGTGCCGTACTTAGCACTGTGATAACAGTTGTCTTAAATCAACTCCAGCCTGCAGGGAAGATCAAGTTTCCTTTTTTTTATTTTCACACAGTCCCCTTCCTGTCTTGGCAGAATTAAATCTCTGACTTTATGCAGAGAAAAGCTTCATGTGTTGCTGCACTTGACTTACTAAGTGTTTTCTTCCATCATACTTTCTTTGTGCATGATGTTTATTATTGTAGTCTTACATTCACTTTTATTTGTCAGAGGATTATAATGACTTTATAACATCTCTTTTATTCCAGTTTTCAAGAAGCACTATGGGGAATCAAT